TCTCCCGTGTTTGGAGCGTTGCTCTCACCACAAGTGTCTAATTTACAGCATTTCTAGCTGCTGCTTTTTTGGTGGGGTGGAGGGAAGCTGGCGGAGGAGGCAGGACCTGGTGCAGGGATGATTAGTGCTGTAGCTCATGTTCTTTCCCCTCGGAGCACAAACTGCCTTTACACACCACAATCTAATAACGATAATAATTAGAAATTACTTTGGGAAAGGGGACTGGGAACCTCAGTGGATTTTTGGGGATTTATTATGTGTTCATGGACATTTTCCAAAACACACATTTAATTGCCTTCTCCGGTGCACACGGAAATTGTCTTCCAGCGTGTGCGTGCGGGGGGGTGTTACACTCACAGAGGATGCTCGCCTGTGCTGTCAAGTGTAAACAGCCCATTTCTGCACTAAAAATAACCCACCCTCTGCGTAACAGAGCAGCTGATCTCTGCAGCCCAGATGCAGGAGCTCAAAAGGGTTAGGTCACCTATTTTTCATTAATGCTGCTATTTAATCACAAATTCCCCCAAGTTTGATCCTTTGGAGATTTTTAAACAAAGTGCCTAGTTGCTTTCTCTCCATCAAGAACTTATGTTCTCACTAAAACACAGATATCAAAGACAATCTGTTAAGTAACTTTGATGTGAGGATGCCTAACAACACACATTACCGGGGGCTCTGCAGCGGCTTTTTGGGAAGAGAAAGATTTTTACCTCTGGTTTAAAATCACTCAACGGATTCAGGGAATTAACCAGTCTGGGCTGCGCGAACCTTTTCTTGGCTCTCCAGGCGCCTTGCAGATGGGAGTAATTTAAATCCAACAGTCCTTCAGGGAGGGTAATTATCTACTTTGTGGAGGAGGAGGAGGAATCAAAGCCCGGAGAGGCGAGGGAGTGCAGAGCGAGCCGGCGGCAGAGCTGGTGGTGCTCTGACACTCTGACAGCCAGGTCTGCTCCAGGGCTGGATTTGCATTCCTGTTCAGCCTGAACTGGCATCTGCCAGGTGGAGTTGGCATTGGACACGTCCTTTTTCTGAGGCTCTAGTACTGGCACGTCCTGTAATAGCAAAGCTTCGTTTCCTCTTGCTGAGCTGGTCAGAAGGACCTTGTCACGGGGCTGGACCCAGAGCAGAGCATCACACCTTGGTGCTGTTTGTGCAAAGAGGGGAAGGTTGCAAGATTTTTTATTTGTTCATCCTGATCTCATACACGAACCATCTTCCCTATGTTCTCTTTATTAATATGTTCTGTCTAGGTCTTCTATGAATAATTAAGATCCTCATTTGCCAAAAGAATGAGATCCCTCGAGGTACCTGCAATCAGCAGCATTTCTCCTCCAGCAAGGAAGCCACTGTTACTTAGGTGCTGGCAGGAACTGTTACTGTGAGACAGAACCAAACATAAAACTGCAGCCTTGCCCTTAATTGCTGCCTTTTGTAACACAAGATTTTTTCCTTTTGAAGCAAAAGAAGCACAAACAGGGAAGGGGCGAGGGTTGGAAAGGGCATGGTGGGGATGTGTCAGAGCACTGCTGTTTGCAAACATGACTGCAGTCCTTTCGAAATGCTCGCTGGAGTGGGGCGGATGGAACCAGTGCTTTGCTGCTGTGCCGGCCACAGTAGGGCTGTCTCACTGCTCGCCCCGGATTTAGGACATTTGTGGAAAGAGCTGGTGATAAATGGGTTTGCATTAGGCTGAAGAAAGGCTGCAATCTACGGTGCCTCCCTGCACCATCCTTCACACGGCCCCGCAACGCCTCAATAAAAGACTTTTAACAAATGCTGAGCACAGGACAGATCTCATCAAAAAGCCACTATTCAGATTATTCTGGCAAGGAAAAGAATCACAACTAGCACCCGTAGGGAAGGCTGTAAAGGGAACCAGCCTCTGTTCCTGGTTCCCGACAATGGGACTGGGACAAGCTGAGAGCGACGCACAGCACCGCATGCACAGCACCACTGGCCTCAGGGTATGTGATGCTTCCAGGGGTTACCGCTGGCCTCAGGGTTTGCGATGCTTCCAGGGGTTACAGCTCCTCAGGGTATCATCTGTTGGGCAGCTGAGTCTCGGGAGGAGGCACAATTTCAGGATCCCTGCCTGACCAGTGCATACCACCCCCTTTGTGTTGGTACCCAGATCCCCCATCCACAGTCTGAGCTCAGCTCAACGATGGTTTCACACCCCTCGTGTGCAGTCGCACCCGGACTTTGGCTTCACGCGGGATATGAGGATAAGCGGCAGCCTAGAACTTGGGCTTTTCACAGCACTGTGGTTTTTTTGTGGCTTTTTTTTTTTTTTTTTAAACAGTCCCTGGCTGACTCTCAGCCTGACAAGAAGAGGTTGAACACTCTGTAAAACAAGGAGAACTTCCTGAAGGATGAAGATGAACTGCAGATCCCTCATATCTGTGACTTGTCGCATGACTTGCGGACCTTCTTGAACTTGGTGGGTCAATTGTTTCTGCTGTAAGTCTGGTGCAGTTCTCCAGGGATGCCAGGTTGTACTTCAAGGATATAAAACACATAAGGGACGAGAAGAGCCTTCAACAGCGTAAGAGCTGGATCTCACGCTACGCTGCTGCCTGTCCGGGTCAGAGCAGGTCCTGGGGGGTCAGAGCAGGTCCTGGTGAGGGTGGCAGGCGGCACAGTGCTCCACGAAGCTGCCGGAGCTCGGCCGAGCACCACGCTGCAGCTTGCATCTGCCGCTCCCAGGGAGTCCTGCTGGGATGTGCAGCAGCTTGACTCAGGTCCTCCCTCGCAGTTGTTGGGAAAGGTCTGAGCTTGGCGTCCCTCGGGAGAGATGATTCACCAGGCGGGGCACACACCAGTCTGGTCAGCTCCCATCAATACAAGACACGGGGCTGTGAAATGGTCCCTGACAGAATTTAGGGTCGCAGCCACAGAAGAGGTGCGAGAGTGTTGTAGTATGGAACAGAAGAAACTTTTGCTCTACTTTCCTCCTCCCATACTCCCAAATCCCCCCCTCCTCCCTCCATATGACAGTGATGGAGACGCAAACCAAACACACCTTTCTGGAGCTGATCTCTATTTGAAAAGAAGTTTGCTCCTGTAGGAATAAAATATGAACACTGGCATGGGGTGGTAAACAAGTCCCTAGAAATTTTTGCCACCCAGTTACTTCCTTCCCTTCTTAAATACCCTGAAACAAATATTACTACAGTAGCTCCAGCCCCGTTACAGTTGTGAGAACACTTCATGCAAAAAAAGAAAAAAAAAAAAGAAAAAAAAAGGTAAAAACCAAGAAAAAAACCCCAACCCCAAACCAGCAAAGCCCTTCCCCGGTGATGCAGGTCTGGAAATCTCGATGTTTCCTCCTCACCCCCGGGAGAGGGAAGGGCTTTGCCTGGACACAATCCAGCCCAGAGTCACCAGCAGCTCTCCGCTCCAGCAGATCCCCAAGGTGCCAGACCCAATCCTGCCCGGGCTTGCAGGCAAGTGCATGGAAGCTGCAGGTTCCTCTCATGGTCAGCAGGTGAGCCAGAGGAGAGGCAGGTCCTGGGGAGCCGTGCTGCCCTTCCACGGGTCCGCCAGGACGGCAGTACACGGAAGCCAGAGCTTGCTGAGTACCAGAGTCTGTGCAGACTTGTGAATCATTCCCAGGATTACTGCTGTCTTCAGGTAACTTACAGGGGCAAAAAGGGCAAAAAACCAACAAGAAAATCCAAATCCATCAACACTCCTGTACTAATTACTTCTACAGACACAGCTTCGCTATTCGGCACAGGGCTAAGCATGCTCCGAGGTGACTACGGGGGAGACGACACAACTTTCCAGGTTTCTGTGGAGCCTCCCTCAGTTCCTATTACTAGACAACATCTACGATAACTCACAAACTTCCCCGCGGGGCACCGGTCCCAGCATGTTCCCAGCGCCTCCTGATCTCATTTAATGTGGCCAAGCCTGGCAAGCTGGGACCCGTTCCCTTCGCAAGGAGCGCTGCTCAGCCGACATGGAGCAGGACGTCTCTGCGGGCTGTTTCCCAAGGAAAAAAAAAAACAAAGAAAAAAAAAAGAAACCAAGAGCAACTGAGATTTGCTCCATTTAATTTCAATGAAGTGCAGCCCTCAGAGGCCAGGAGAGATGCCAGTCGAGAAGTGTGGATGTCCTATTTCTCGAATGCCCCTTTCCCAACCAAACCTCTACTCTTCTCAGCTTAAAGTTTTAACAAGTCATCAAACCCCACTGTGTTAAACTAATAAGAACTTCAGAACCTGCAGTTCTTTTTCCTCTGGAGGATGTGACTGAACAGTGGAAAGGACACATGGGCAGACAGCACCCTGCTCTGCAGTGGGGACATCGCTGCCTCTGGAAGCTCCCGACAGTGACCAGTGTTACTGGATCCTGTTAGAAAGACATGATGGAGTTAGGGCTGGGGAGGAGAAAAAGGAGCAACTGTTGTCCTCAGTGTGCTAGAACATCTCCTCCCTCCCTAGGTGGGGAAACAGACAGCTTATTTGCAAAAGGCAAGTGGTTTCCTAAAAAACTACTGAAAAAACACGAAGGCTGCTCAGCCCCTTCCCCTAGAAAACTGTAAAAACGTTGGAGACACAGTGTGGCATCAGGGAGGCTGGGAAGGCAGCACGGGGACAGCGGCGGTCTCTGGACCACGCCACAGCCATGGCAGGGTCCAGAGAGGTCTGGCTGTGATTCTGGATGCTCCCTGTAGAGGATTGCGGAGCTCAGGTCCTCTCTGCCCTCTGTCTGGGTGTCCCGGGGGCAGTGAGGGGCTGTGGCTGGTCTCCACACTGTCCAGGCAGCTGCTGGTATGTTGGTGTATCCTGCCCGAACAGACCTCCGGGCTGTTCTGTGACCGTCATCGCTGTCGGTGACCAGTCCCAGCTCGGGCTCCCCTCCTCTGGAGGCATCTCCCTTGAGTGTGCTGCTGCTCAGTTGCTCTCTACCAGCTTGGCTAGTCCCTGACGGATCTCACTGAGCTCAAATATCTTCACATCCATTATCTCTGCCACCTTGGTGACCTCGTTCTGGATCTTCTCCCTCTCGGCCAGGGTATCTGCCAGCGTCTGCTCGGCAAGGTGAAGGCGTCGCTCCAGTTCAGCGTTGCGTGCCTCCAGCTCCTGCCGGAGGACACAAGCGCAGTGAAAAGGCTGCCCCAGCGCTGATACACGCTGCTCACAGACCACCACCCTTATCTCCACGAAACAGCCCTGCTCACACCCCAGCACAGGCTACGCACACCCAGCCAGCGCAGATCTCCATCAGTTCTTTTTGAGGGACCTCCCCATCTCGAGCCACAGCACCCCGGCACGCACACACATGTGAGCACGTGTTCCCCAAACCCTGGCATCTGCCCACAGTTTGCAAAGGTGCTATAAACTCACATCTCCTCTATCATCTCCTGGTCTAACAGCATTTGATGTCTGGAGATATTATTCTGCCATGAAAGCCAGTGCCTGCAGGGGTGAGCCCCACAGCAGATCCCCTCGTTCAGCAGCTCGGAGGTAAACACAGGCAGGCAATGCCCCGAGAGACTGCGCAACAGATCCTGCTTCCATCTGCGTCCCTGCCCCGAGGTGCAGAGCAGCTTGCATCCCTCCTGCCAGCCTGAGTCAGAGCTCTGCTCCCCAGCCACCCCAGAGAGACGGAGGGTCACAGGACATCACCTGTCCTACGTCAGGGGCTACTACACGTGCTAGGGGAGAGTACGTGAAGGCTGGGTCTGCTATTTGCCTGCTGATTGTGGCTTATGTCATATCTGAGGGATACAGGGAGGGTGGAGGAAGGCAGAGATAAAGGCAAGGACCTGTTCCCATCATCCAGAGGCAGACACAGGCATGACAGCTCTGCGGCATTCACGCTCTGGCTCAGAGGAGAAATGGGGACGGATCCCTCAACTCTGAGTGCAGGGGTGTCCCAGATCTGCCATCCTCCCCTGCAGCTTCTGCAGCGTCTCCTCGCGCTCACCCTCTGCTTCCCATCGGCTGCACTTCTGGCTCTTTAGCATCTGAATCTCCTAAAACATAGAGAGGAAGAGCATCACGTCAGACCAGCCCTGTCCCAGTGGGGCCAGCTCCCACCACCTCCTGGGGCAGATCCCAGGCTCTTGGGGCCAGGGTCCCTGCTCGGCTGGTGGGTGAAAGCCTCAGCACACCTTTGCCTTGCCCCAGAATTTTTCCTCTAGCCTGAGTAGCTCCAGTGAGGGGAGAGAGATCTCTTCTCACTAAAGGATCAGGAACCCCAAAACACCTCCCCTCCCCAATCCCTTTGTGGCTCTGTCCCCCCACCCTGCTGAAGCACGGCCACCAGAGAGCCTGGAGATGTGCAAATCAGAGAGACTCTCTCCACATCTCCCCTTCTTCACAGCCTCTGTCATTAAAACTCTGCTTTAAATCATTCATTTAAATGCAGTGAAAGCGAGAAGCAATTACCACACTAGAGGCTAAGTGCAGCTGCAGGCGGTGGAGAGGGGAAGGGGTAACACACAGCCCTGACTCTCTGCTCAGGGCTGTTTGCCTGGGAAACTCCCAGCACTTGACTCTCACTCAGCTTTGCTTTTCTGGGGAGGGAGACCACCGACGGGGCTGCACTGGCTTGCAGGAGGCGCCCTCTGATCACATACAAGCCATAATGACAGACAAGGTGTTGGGGACTGACAGCCCCCCCAAGCTCCAGGCTGTGTTTTATGGGGTATTACCTCGTCTTTAGCCTTGATCAGGAGTTCCAGCTCCTCCAGGGTCTGGCTCAGCTCTTCCTTGTTGTTCTCACTGGAGGAATCGTGAGCCCCCTGCGACTCCAGCTCTGCTACCTGCATGGAAGCAAGCACAGGGGAGGTGAGCTCAGAGATACAGGGATGTCCTGGCACCTTATCACCCACAGCCATTCCCTGTCATGTTCTGGCTTCCTTGCAAACCCAACTGGGCTTACAGCAGGGCTGTCAGGAAAAAAAATTCTCTCCTTCTGCTCTGCCTAGATCACACACAGAAACACACTGTGTCAAACTCAGTCTAGAGACTCTGTCTCCACTTTCTCCTGCACTCTTCCAGCAAAGCACCACAAAGTGACAGCTCGATCCAGCTCCATTTCCATCCCTGGGCAGAGATTGCTGAGGGCAAGGGAGTTACTGCAGCTCAACCACAGCAGAGCTGGGAGGAAGGGTTTGCCCAAGTGTGCTTCCCATTCCTGAAAAATTCAGCCCAGTGGCTTAGATTATTCATGAAGAGGATTCATTTTTAAAAGCTCATCAGAAGGTCTGCAGCAGCTACTGCCCAAGCTCTCACGGGGCTTGCACTGAGCTGTGCAAGTACAGCTACAGCGATGAGAACCCTCACGTAGACACGGCTCAGACCCCAGTGTGACATTTTCTGCACAAGCAGGGGCAGCAGGGCAGCGCTGGCTGGACTCAGCCCCTGCCAGGGTCAGTGGGAACAGTGGTGGTGAGCTGTCAGGCTCCTGGGGTCATGGCCAGAATCAACCAGCTCTGGCCACAAAAAGGTTTAGGGACAATAATTTACATGTTTCATTGAGTTACAGTTTCTTCTGGGATTCTGCAAAGCCCCCAAGTGGTTGCCCTTCACCCAAGGCTCATGAAATCCTCACTCCTAGCTCCTGGCTGTGCAAACAGCTGAGTATGCACAGAGCGATGGCAGGGAAAAGGCAGCACAACCCAGCCAGCCCCGAAACCACACACAGACCCACGCACAGCCATGGTCTCTGCTGTACCTAGGGCAGGCTCCTGCTGCAGAGGAGGAAATTTGTTCCATGCAGCTCTGAGAACTAGCAAAGGGCACGGTGAACCCTGGGGGACGGCTGCTGGCTGCACAGACTGGCCACGCAACAGCCAGCAAGCGGCATCAGCTGTTAATTGCTCTAAATCCCTGCTGGCTTTTGAATGAGCGAAATGGCTTTATGCCTTCTCCAGGGCTCCAGAGTCCTTTCCCACCCAAACCCCAACCGTCCTAAAACCCTTTCCCAAGTACTCTGCAGTCCTTCCCTCCCAGCAAACCCGACCGTGTGACTGTCACTCCTCTGCCCAGACGCACACATGCCTCCTCGGTCCATCTGTGACCTCTCTGACTTTACATAGGTCAAAAGATCCCATTATTCCAACCGAACAAGGGCTTGTTTGTACTCTGCCACCCGGGTTTCCTGATGTTGCAGCTTAGATTCAAGCTAATTATAGCAGAAAGAGCAATCTTCATCCTTCCTGTAGCAGACAGAAGATTGCCCCCCTCAAGGGGGGCCACGGATCTCACTCGGTACTGCTGGCAGCTGGGAGCTACCCCCAGAGAACCTGACGGGAAGCTGGTATTCTTTGACTTTGTGCTCTGGTTTCTTCCCTTTATCTACGGGGATTCAGCACACCCCCAACTCCCTCTGCAGAAAACAGGAGCTCTTGCGAGAGCTCCCCGGTTACATGGCCTTATTCCTTGACATGTTTTCCCTGACACACTCCTGCAGCATCCTGGATTTCCATCCCGTCTCCTGCTGACACCCACGGAAAGTGCTGGGAGAACGGGGTCAAGGACGGCTCTGGGACAGGCCTTCCTCTGACCTGCTCTGCAAGGGTGCCCCTGCGCTCACCCGCTGCCGCAGCGTTTCCGTCTCCTCCTGGTAAGCGGCCAGCTGCTTCTTCCACTGGTCCACGTTGGCGTTGGCTTCATGGAGAGCAGCCACGAGCTTATTGTTGTTGTCCTGGAGGCTGAAGAATTCGGCTTCCCACTGGACCTCACTCACCGATCTGTGTGTGCAGAAGAGCATAAGAGAGTCTCAGCACAAGGTTTCTTCCCCCAGTGCTAACATGTGCTGAAACCATGCTCTGGGAAGTGCTGGGCAGCTCCCTGTTTTCTATTTGGCTTTTGTATCACTTCCCAAATTTAAATGTTTCTTCCAGCCCTGAATCTGCATCTCTTTATTCCTGGATAGTATTTGACTTTGAGGCCATGTGTGCTTGCTTGAAGCTGCATAAACCACGCTGTGAGATTAACGAGAGGGGGTGGGTGGGGAACATACAGCTACTACAAAGGAGCTTTGCAATGTGGGACTGTGAATCCATTTCTAAAATTTTTGTTGGATTTGAGTTTGCTTCAAATAAAACCCTACCACCCCAGACTCAGGAGAAGGTACCAAAGCACACCTGCTTTTGATTTAAAAAATACTCTAAGTGTTCAGCTGGGAGCTCAGCAGGAGCCACAGGGCATAATCCAGCCCAGAGTCTTTTGAGCAGACAAAGAGCGGAAGCAGCAGGGACTTTGCTGGAATCATCAGGGGAATTAACACAAATGCAGCCCTGGGCCAGCTGGAAAAGTGTGAACATCTTCTGGTATCACAAACTACTGATCTGTAGATAACTGGCATCAACTCATCCCCGCTGCGGGCACAAAGCATTCTCCTTCCCACGCTGCCTGAACAGCAGATTTCACCTCCAAGCTGGAATGATTTTCTACTGGGGAACAGGGGAAATTGGTACTGTGGAGGGTTTGAGCTGCAGCAGACGTGGGGCATTACTCAGCTGCATAAAGAAGGAGCATTGGGTCAAAAGCATGTGGAATGAGGCCACTCGGTTATTCAGGGTCCCTGCAAGCACTGGGATGACAGGGACACGCACCAGATCCTGCCAGAACAGAGAGTTTGGGAGTCAGAAGCAGAGAGAACTTGTGGCAGCCTCACCCTTCTGAAAGCATCTTCTTCAGCCGCTCCTTCTCTGTTGTTATCTCGACATCGGCGCTCTGGCTCCGGAACAGCTTGTCTTCTCCTGGCCCATTGGAGCTGATGATGGGGCTGGGCAGCACCTGGGGGATGAGGAAGAGGGGGATTATCACACGGCAGAGAAGACAGGCCATTCAGACACAAGGTCTCTGCAAACCCATCCACAGCCCGCATTCACAGCGCTCAGTCCCTGCACCCTCGCGAGGAACGCTGGCTTTCAGTCCCAACTCTTCGGCAGTGCTGTGCTGGTCTGCGTGACAAGGGGTGGCAGCCATCCTCGTGGATGGCACAGCACCAGCCACAGCACAGCGATGACTTCGGAAGGTACGCGGAGGGGTGGGTTAGTGCTCAGCTCTTCCAGCAGCTGCCCTGCTGCCACATCCTCCCTTCTCCTGTCGCTGTTCCATGCCGGGGCAGTGATCCCAGTGCACAGACACCCCGGGCAGGATCCCAGATCTCTCCCAATGAGACAGACAGTAAGTGTAGTCAACAGAGGTAGTGTCTGTATTGTTAGTGCGAGAATTTCAGTTTTGCATTTCTCCATTTTTTTTTTTTTCCATTTGGGCTTTTTAGCCTTAGTTATTGTGTTGCTTAGGAATTGCATACGTAACAGCTGAGTTTTTTTACTTCCATGATATTTTAGTGATGTTGAAAGTTTGGATTATCATTATGCATTTAAGGCTCACTGGAGGCTAAGGTTGATTCACAGCCCCAACACAGGAGATGGCTCATTTTCTCAGTGCCACTAAATAGTTTAATCATTCCTACACCCCGAGCAGGTGGGCTCACAGCTTGCACACACCAGCTATTCCTCACTCCCGACTTGAGGTACTGAATTCTCTGGCCCTCAGCTTCTCCTTGAGAAATGCCAGCGATGTTACAGCCTGTAACCGGAGTCCCACGGCTGTGCACAACGCTCCGAGCTGCTCAAGGCACCCGTTTCAGGGGTTGGCTGAATTCTTAATGGGATTTTCTTGGTGGTTCTCAGAGCAGGGCAAAGACTTAATAAACTCTGAACACAGACCTGCCAGGCCACCTGGGTTCAGTGGCCACTCCAGCTCCTGTGCCCTGAATGAAGACCCCGGGTGCCACTGGGACAGTGTTTCTCAGGGTCAAGGGAGGGGAACTCTGCTATTGCTCAGAGGACTGTGGCACCCACTTTCCAAAGGTGTGGGAGAAGAAACTCACAGCCCCTGCACCAAAGTGTTCCCTCCTCTATGGCTCTATATCCCCAGGTGCATCAGAGCTAGCAGAGATGAACAATTCGTCCTCCCAGGCTGGAGGGAGCTGACAGTGGAGGAGAGATGAACATGCAGAAGCCAAAGCAGACCTCAGGTCCTCCAGCCCCTCCAGAAGACCCCGTCTGCCCGGTCTCCGCTCACGGCAGAGCAGAAGGTTGGCATGGACAGGGCAAGCTGAGCTATAAAAAGATTCTCTGAGCAGAGTCTCTGGGATCCCAAGCTGGGGACTGTGGGACCAGGTGGCTGGTGAGCCTGCTGGAGCTGATAGTAGCCCTCAAATGCCCACGATAAGGACAGCCACCTGCCTCCAGCGTCAGGTGACATCTATAAATAGAGCCAGGCAGGGCCACGAGATGTCACGAAGCCTTCCAGAGAGTGACTGAGAAGGGAGGCCTGCAGAACACAGCCCTCCCCAGCAAGGTGGGGAAACTGAGGCAGGGAATGGGCAGGAGTGTCCTGTTCTGGTGTGCTGAGCCTCTGCGAGTCCAACTGGAACTGGTAACAGCTGAAGATGCTCCAGACTGTTTTGTTGCTCACATTATCCCCAGTAACACTCTGTGATGGGGACTGGCCTGAAAGGTACCAGAGGACAGAAGAGAGCTGCTCTCATGGGATTTCCCCAGCTCGGAAAATCTGAAGCCCAAGTAAACTGGTGCAGATGCAAAAAATGAGGGAGCCCTGATTTAATTTCAGGAGACAGACCTGCTCTCTGCTCACTTGCAAACAGAAACACAATCAATTATTCAAGGATGAAACTCATGTCTGAAGCTCTAAGGTTGAGACTGCGAATCAGCAGAGGGACGGCAGAAGGGACGATGGGCTGTGGGGAGGGCAGGACATGCAGGACAAGAGCTGCATGGCCACATGGCAGGGGATACTGCGGGTGTCACTGTGTCAGCGCACTGGCTGGGTTCACACTGTGGCAATTTTAGTGCTGCTGAGTCAGGTAAGAAGAATGAACGGAGCCTGATCTGTGATTAACCTTCACCTTCTGCCCTCCTCATCCCTTCTGCTGCAAGGTGCCACTGCAGCACAGGGGAGATGAACGCATCCTGTTGTGGCACCTAATGAGTTCTGCCTGGTGTAAAAAGGATTAAAGGGAGTATCCCTATTCCCAGCCTCTCTCTCCTGGCCAGGGGAGCTCTCACGGCTGCATCTGGCCACAAATCTCTGTCTTGGGCAATTATTACTGACTAGAGTCTTTTACCTAAAACTTTGGTTCCGCTATGCATGCTCTACTCTGCTCCCTTCTTCATTTCCCACCCATTAGGATGGGGTTTAGAATTAGCAGGAGCCAGAAGCCAGGCAAATTTTCCCCATTTTTGCACCCCACATGACATTTACAGTCTCTGCAGAGCCACAGCCTCTGCCTCCCCCTCTTCTCCCTGCAGACCAAGGTACTGTTCACACTCCCTCCTCCTTCTCTGCTGCCACTCCATCTGTACTCAGCCCAGAGAACGCGGCGTCCTCCATCCTACTGCCAGGAGCTCTGGGAAATGCAGAGTCACCTTTGGAGTGAACTATTTGGGAGGACAGCTTCCCCATCAGCACCAAACTGCTTCACCCCACAGCTCATCCTCTCCCCTCCATCCCTCTGTGGCTGGAATTGGTTCAGCTCTACAGGGAGAACAGCAACAATTGCCGGTGCGATGCATGTGAGAATGATCTGTGATGGGCTGAAGCTTTCTGGCTTGGTCTCCTGGGGGAAAGAAAATTGAGTGACTGGCTGTCGTGTGTGTAGTTCTACCTCAGGGGAGAGCTCCCAAGGGGAAGAGTGACTCCTACTTTCATGGCACAGCTTCTCTTCCACAGTGGAAATAGGACAGAAACAGAAGAAGTCTGGCCAGGACTCCTCAGTCCCCAGAAACCTGCTTGTCTTTCCATGAACCCCCATGGACAGCACAATCGCCTGCTGCCCAAGAAGGGGAAGAAAAATGGTTGGAAAAAAAAGGTTGTCTTCCTTCCTACGATCTTCAACCAGGCAACATGCACTCCCGCATGCTGCTTGCCCGTTATTGTCACACTGAGCTCCCCCAGCAGCTCTGAAGAAAAGAAGAAACAAACCAAAAACCATAAAACTGAAAAATCCCAACCACCACATCTAAACAACGATTCCTCTAGAATGGCTTTATAAGACATCAAATGGTTTTGATTGTTTAACTGGCAAAGAGGGAGGAGTGTGAACCTTCCCAGGAGCTCCCCTTCAGCACTAATTAGGTAATTATTTCATGTGTTTCAGTAGAGTGACCACAGGGCCACAGGTGTCATCAGAATGTGAAGCTCCAACCTCAGTGTCCGTCAGGAAAGCTCCCAGAGAGAAAGGGATGAACAACAAGTTACTAGAGGAGTTCACTTGTGCCTCTTTCCAAGCGTTACCTGGTGAGACGTGATGTTCAGGGCAGGGTTGGTCAGCTCTGTTTTATCCTGGGACTTCTCCCTGGCCAAACGCGCTGCTTCCTTCACTTCCTGGAACTTCTCTGCAAACTAGAGGGGAGGGGAAAAGTCACTCTGGTGCTACGCCAAAATGCAGAACGAACTAGAACTGATGCCTGGGTTACTCCTCCTCTGCAACATCATTTGATGTGCTTGTTAATTTCTCTTCAACAATAAAATTCAGGGAATAGCCCTTTCCTGCCCCTGCCCATGATTCTGCCACTCTGGGGTTAGCTAAATAGCAATGGCAGAAACAGAGCCCAAAGTCCTAATTCAATTTGTGATCCTCAAAACACTCTGAAAATATTACTTTACAGCTCTTCCTAGTATCTTTGCATCTTGCATGAGATTTTAGCACAGCGGGAACAGCATTACATGAGGTTCCTAAAGCCTCCTCTCCCGAGGGTGATCTCCCCTTCAGGGTTTCAGGGACATTCCCCCAGCTAGCATCAGGTTTGTGCCAGCACCTGCAGCATTACCTGGGAGAGATGCTGCTCCGAAGCAAAACCCAGCCCGTACACTGTGTTGGCTCGGCTGTCCGCCCATTGTCCAAATTTCTGGGATGTCTTTGTGAAGGTCATGTTGGGGGTGATAGTGCTGTTGATGATTGCCTGCGGAGAGAGGCAACAAGGAGAGTCAGAGGAAACTCCAGCCTGCTGCCCTGGGGTGGTGGTGTGGGACTGAGCACCATAATCCCCATGTACTCGAAGAACTAGGGGTAGAAAGCTCTGGTTTTTAATGTAAAAGGCAACAGCTCTGGCTGGCTACATGACATGAACAGGTCTCAATCACCTCCTCTACTGAAAAAGAAAAAAAAAAAAGCCTCAGTATCATCAGCTTCCTCCACTGCTGGAAAAGAAAATAAGAGACTATGTGTGTCTGGGGACTTAACAACTTTCTGATGTTCTCCATTTTCATGGCAAGTAAGAGGAAAAAAAAAAAAGGCTTAATCAGCAGTCAGTCAGGACTAGCTATTACGAAACACTCTCTGCTGGTTAGGGTAGCAACAAAATAAATAGCCTGGGAAGGCTGCCGAATCCCTGCCACTGGAGGTCCTCAAGAACAAGTCAGGAAAACGCCCATCAAGAAGAGTTTAGGGAGAGTTAATCGCATTTGTTGGAAGTGACCGAACAGACTGCTTCTGAGAACTCCCTCAACCTCTGTCTGGCATCCCGTTGTATCTACAGGGGTTGGTTTCAGCACAGGATAGAGGCTCTCAGAAAAATCTTGTGTTTTATATGCATGGGGGTGGGAAGAGACACACTTGAGCGTGGAGGCAGCGTTCTACCTTCCACTCTCTGCGGTGAAGATGCTAGAGTGCCCATGCTGAGAACCGACCAACTTGACACCAAAACCATCAACACCAGAACAGACTTTGGCTGCAGAAAAACCTGCTGTCGAGCTGCGCGATGCTGTCAGCAAATGCCCTCTACCTTGGTGCCCCCCACGCTGATGATCCGGTACACATTGCGCGTGGCATCGTAGAAATAGGAGACAGTCAACGCGTGCTTGCTGGCCGGGATCCAGTTCCGTTTGGTGGCAGGGTCAATCTGGAAAACATGGGCCCTGGTGCTGAAGATGGGCTGCTCCCTGCAAGGGAAACGAACGGGGCTGTCAGGGGAAGCTGAGCAACGCGGGAAGCGCATCGACTTCCTGGCACTCGTGTTGCGTTATACCGCCAGCAGCACTTCTGCTATTCCCCCTCTCTCCGGGGATCCGAGACACTCGGCGCTAAGCAACAGCTACCAAAACCTACAGGTGGAGGATTCTACCTTCCTCTAGAGGTTCTCTGTCCTCCTCTGCAGTCTCCAGACATGTCCAAAGACCACAGCCTCATCGTTCCAGCAATAACAGACTACACCCTCAGGTTAGTACATCTCCTACGCACGTTCACCCAAGGATGGGCATGCGACTTGCAAGCAGAAGCACAAACAGGACATCACAACCTCATGTTCTGGGCATACCTGATGGTCCTTCACAACACAGCTGGTGTGGCAGAGTTACACTAATGATCAGGGGTTATATTATTTTCAGCTTAGTCTGAAGCTTTCTTTCACCATCCCTCAGCACCTTAAGTGGTCAGTTCCTTGGGACTTCACCAGGTATATGACTTCTCTGGCTGCTGTATGATTTGTATTTCTTAGGATGTCTCTGAGCTGGAGCTCTAGGGAAAGGGATGGATGGAGGATGTGTCTGGGATGTGAGCAAAAAAAGCGCCTTCCCCTCAGCACAGCTCTTCCTCCCTGGAGTCGCGCTTGGGAAGCGCATCCTGCAGCGAGAGGTCACATCGCAGGATGACAAGCAAGTCTCTTAACAATGAATCAAAGGAAACACTTCACCACACAACGTGCAGCTGCTGCAAGAAAGCACTGAACCAAGCACTGCCCAGAGTTTGTAACCAGCAACATCTGACTGCCATAAGGAGTTGAATCTCAGGCATCAGGATAAAACTGGAGTGCTTCAGGAAGGACCATTTCCGTGACACAACAGTCCAGGTGCATCAGGGCTTGGGGTATTCATTTGACTTGGGTTAAAACCCAAGGCACCGGCCATTGCCACACTCCCTACCCAAACCTAGTGAAACGTGATGCGATTGGAAACATCCCACACCCCCAGGACAGCTGCAAACAAGGCACAGCCACAATCCTGTACGGGCAAGCTCCCAAAATCCCAGTATTTATATTTCCTCCCCATTCCAAGTCCTCACAGCTGCAATGAACAGACCTCCCCATCAATGCAAAGACAAATGTACCTGGTGCTTTCCGAAAACATCACCAGAACTCAGGAAGGAAATAAAATGTTCCCTTCTACCTCCCTGTTTCGAGCCTCGTTCCCAGGTTACAGCCCTGCCTCAAACCTCTTGTGACTGTCAGAGGGTTTAAACCAGCCCCCTCTCCGCATCCTCTCTGCCTGGTTTTATTCAGACACAGCCTGTTTCTGGAATGAGATTCACACGTTCCAGGCTCCACTAACAGATACTAAATTTTACACGGATCACGGCTTATCCTTTGAGACGCAGCATCCACAGAGCAGGGAAAAAACCAAACGTTTCTGCACCTGAACCCCCACGTGCTGGGCTAGTGTCAGAAAGAACAGAGGAAGGACGTTACCTAGTTGTTGACATTGGTTAGTAAGGGTAAGACAGACTACAGGCCAGTGGAGTTAGCACACGTCTCTCCTCCAACAGCTTCCTTCTCGGGTCTCCTAGCTGGACTGAGGCTCCTTTTGGGTTTTGCCTCCACAGAGATTCATTTCCTAGCGATGGAAAAGTCAGCTGTTATTTATCACACCGAACACAGACACAGCGTTCAACCAGGCAGCGTTTAGGGGCTTCGTTTGTCCCAAACTCACAAAGCTTGTAATTCGTCATGATTTCTCATCCCTGAACAAGTTTTTTTCCCCTGTCATGGGAGATAATTGGGTGAGCTGTGTGACTGCAGTAAATCCCTTTGGCAGCAGGCGCTGGCTGTTGGGAGAGGGCCACGGAGGAGCCTGGGAGGCTCTCGTGTTTCCAGTCACACACACGTGATGCTGGCTGCATGATGGAAAACCCTCCTCCGAGATCGCCCCTTGCACGCATGGCAGCTATTCCTGGGCTCGCTATTCACCAGCCAGCTCTGCACCCAGCGCCAATGGAAACCATCCTGCTGACTGCAGCAGGCTGCAGATCAAGTGACGGTTTTCCGACCGAGCTCGCTGACATTCCTGGAGATAACCAACCCGTCTCTGTCCGCAGGGATGGGATTGCAGCAGCACCTGGGCATGCACCCACCACGTGCACCCCCTCTCCTGTGCTCCATGGAGCCAGGCACCGTCCCAGACCCCGACGGGTGCCCTGTGCTGTCGCCCCATGACATGTGAGACAGCGGTGCTCTTCGTTTGCTTTGTAAATTAGTCTCTCCAGCAAATGGTCCCCACCCTGCTTGCCTCTTATCGAGACTCTGCATATCTCAAAAAAGAAAAAGGGACCAAAGTAGTAAGGAAGTGAATTTGCATCACGGGTGCCTGTAGAAGGGGTAGAGCCCAGATCTCCCAGCCTCTCTGCTAAGTCTGCCTTCAAGCAGGTCAACTGAGTGTCTTAATACTTGAAAAATCCCACTGCCTTCCTACGGATCACTCCAAGACAGGAGAGGCTCACATGTCAACTGTCCTGTAATTACAGTGTCACCACCCACAAAAGCCAGCATTACTTTCCTTCTGAGCACCAGGAGCAGAAAATGAAATGCCCCTGGGAGGCTTGTCAGGCAGGAGAGAAGCCCGTCTGCACAGGGGTCAGCTGCTGCTTTCTCTGCCCAGCACACAGCTCTTTTCCTGGGCTCAGGTATGCCAAAAATACACCCCGCGGATGGTGGGGATGGGGAACGGTGCTCCACTTTTTGTGCCTTTACATCATCACCGCTGCCTCTACACTCCCGTGTTTGTTCATGCTGTTATGGTCTTCCCTGGAGCAACAAAACTTCTGTCTGCCAGAGCTCTATCCCTCCCAGTTACAAAGGTGAGAGTCTCGCAGACCAGATGTGCTTTGCTTCCAGCAGACAGCAAACTGGCATCGGGCTTGTCAGCACCTTCACCTGCCTGCCTGCTGCCAAGGGAACTCCTGCACCCACCTCCCTCCGAAAGCAGCAGACTGCGCAGCATCTCCCAAAATTATCTTTCGCGTCTCCCCTTTCCTCGCTGCGACTGGCAACAGCTGCTGCCAGCTTGCACGTCCCTAATAATGACGACTGGAGATGGCTTTGAGGCCAGCACTGCCTTCTCGCAGCGACGGGAGCGTGGTGCCAGCCTGGCACGGGGACAGCGCTTTCGAGGAAGCGGTTACTAAAGCTCTGGAGGTAATGCTCAAGAAGAGCTTTATGCTCTGCTGGGGAACAGCGCAGAGATGCTCATGCTCCTTTTGCAGTGCTTGTGCAGTGAAAAAAAAAAAAGTCTTGTGTTTGTTTGTTTGTTTTCGATCCATCAAATAATACAGATTGTATCCAGCTAGTAGAAGAATTTCATTGTCGAGGGTGCTGGCTAGCCGTGAAACCTGCCTTTCAGTACTCAGGCACTTGTCTGACAAGGTTAAAGCAAATCTACAAGATAAAAGCTCTCCTAGAGTGTTATCAGTGGAGCACAACAGAAAATAGACAGAAAGAGAAGGCAGAAATGCAAACCCAGAGAGAGGAAAAGCAAGAAAGTCTGCAGATCTCGGGGCACATCTCTAGGAAGTCACAAATCACTTATGAAATGGAAACCAGCTCTACCTCACCCCTTCTGCGACTCCTCCAGCAGCAGAGAAGCATGGCAGGGTTTGACACAGCTCAGCACGGCTGAGGGGACAAGCAAGGTGGGGACAGCGGCAGGACTGCGGGGCGCTGGCGGACGTGCGGAGGGAAGTTCGGAGCAGGACAAGCCCAGGTGCTGAAAGCCACGAGCTGAGACGCATGAGCGGAGTAATGCCTGAGGAGCACCCGTCTGCACTCAGCTTGCTTCTGGCCAAGCTGCTGACCTCCTGTTTCCAAAAACACTACAAAGCGTTTAAAAATAGCCCTGAAAGTGCCCAGGATTCAAACTGTCATGTTCTCTCTCCCGCTACAGCCCTCTTTCCCCCTGTGCTTTAAGTGCACATGCTGGATACACCACTCATCCCTAAATGCCAACGCTGTTTCTCCTGCTCCCAGCTGGGAGACCCCATAACAACACAGACACAGCGGTGAACAGGACACGTGTAAATAAAACCCCCTACATCCCCCCAGGGCTGTCCTTAGCAGATAATTAAGAAAAATCGTGTCTCAGCTGCCAGGATTTGTTCCCAGCCCAGAGGGAAAGGGCAAAATTCAATATCCCAGGTCCCACTGATAGCTTAAAAATTACTTTTCCCCAATGAATGTTCCCTAATACTCCAGCTACCAGGCAAAACCAACTACTGAAAATGAAATGATGACCTAGCTGATCTAGCTGTTCCTAACGCGTCCTTCACATCCGCAAAGCAGCTGGCTCCAGGATGCTGCGCGAGTAAAGACCCAGCCACCTCCTCTTGCGGCTTCTCCCTATAGAGAACCTGCAGGAAGGCCACTGGGGGTTTGGGGAGGACGCGTAAATATAGGGTATGGATCAATCGTTTCCAATTTGCTCGCTGACCAGAGCCTCTGACTCAGTGGTCATTAACACGACACATAAAAGTGCACGCTGGTCTCATTTCCACCTTGGTTCTTATATTATTCCCCTCTCTACGGCATCCACATCGATTTCTTAATGAATAGCTGCTTATCTCGCCATTACCAGGAGAGCAAATCGTTATTTGTCCTCTTAATTTATGGTCTCAGCAGAGCAGCAATGGACTGAGCAGGCCAAAGGGACCGAGTTGTCTCAGGCTGGAGGAGGGACCTCGTTGGGTTAGGACACACCGAGGCGCTGCCAAGAGCCTGGAGGAGAAGCACGTCCTGCAAGCACCGTACAGATGGCATCAGCTCAGTCCCTCGCACCAGTGCCACATTCTACATGGAGGGGGAACAGCGGGCAGAGAAGGTGCCAAAGGCTGGAGAAGAGGAAAACCAGCGCTGCCCCCCGTCCGGTGTAATCTGAACACGTATGTCACTGGATGCATGGGCTGTCCTTGAGCGTCCTGTCCCCAGGTGGGCTCTACCCGCCTCTTTACAGGCATGCGGGACTCTTCCCAAGTGGGATCTTCTAAAATAACCCAGTTCTGCCAACAGAGAGAACTCACAGAAAGGGAGACGAGCCACCTCCCCAAAGAGGGACCACAGCATCTCCCCTTTAGGAGAAGCACCAGGAACCGGTGCCAGGATCATCACACGACACACCTGCAATGCGTGGGATCCTGTGGATCCGTATACACCCGGCTGTGGGGAGGGGTCTCTTTCTGACTGCAACACCTGCCTTTGACTTAGGCTTTGTCCTTGTTCTTCTCGGATTCTCTGTGCAATCAGGAAGATTTCTCCCACCACCGAGATCCTCTTATTTTTTTGTTTGCACTAATTCTCGCCTCGCAATCCTGTCTGCCTGCCTGCGACGCGCCCGTCTAGTTAACCCAATTACGGATCACATCCTGCTCACCTGCCCCCACCCTTTGCTGCACCACCAGAGAGAAGAAACCTCATGGTTTGCTGTGGAGAGGGAAGCTTTCAGAGTTACCATTTCCCAAATTTATACTATTTCTGTCCTGCTTTCAGTTCCAAAGCGAGGTGTGCAATAAAAAAAAGAGCAGGATTCAAACCTAGACACAAGTATAGAGTTTTAAGAGAGAGATTTGGCGGGTGAGTCTGAGTTTAAAGCACTCCAGGAACACAAATAGTGAATAGGTCTGAGGTTTAGAATAAAGTCTTTCAGCCACCGAAGGCAGCAGCTGGAATGTGCTGGGGGCTGAGTGGGGTCCTCATTAACTGCATTCGCCTTGCTGCGTCTGGATGGGGTTCAGCCAAGGGCATCTCTAGGAAGCCCATGTGCCGTTCCCCAGCCTGCACCTCCTCTTGCTCACTGCAGCTTCTCTTTGCAGGGATATTCATTTACTTGTCAGAGAAAAGAGCCTCTCTGCACTTGGACGTGGAGAGGATGATCACTCCAAATACTCTGCATCCAGGCAGTCTGTGGTCCCCCCATATCTAAAAACCAAGCCAAAAAATGCCTTGCAAGAAATCACAAAGTACCAGATCAGCAAAATAATTTCTTTCTGCAGGTCATGGGCACAAAAGAACTCAGCCACAAGGGCAGGGAAGGG